ATTATTCATTTTACATTATCTATTTTCGAACTATTATAGCATTATCTAAATCTATAACATAATGTATCTTTAAAATATGTTTGTGATGTTGGTATGAGTTTATCTACTAATGTATCTTTAAGTTTGAGGATGCTGTGAAATCAGTCCCTGGACTCTCAATTGGAACGTACACCGTCTTTATTATCACTTAGGAGCAAAACAGTAGGACATTAAACCCCATTTCATTTTATTTCATTTCTTAATTAGGTTGTCTTGGGTTAGAATCCTGTCTTGGGTTAGAATCCTAGCTTGGGTTGTGAAAAATCTTTTGTCTGGGGTGTAACGCTGCTTGGTTGACAATCAAAGTGTTGCTTAGTCTTTTGGGTGGTACAAATAAACGAGGTCTGCCCTCCATACGTTGACTTCCTCATAAACTAACCCTTAAAGATACATTATGGGAGATCAGATAAAGAGCTGGCAGTTTTCACTATAAAAACTAGATAATGTAAAGGGAATTTGCTGATTATTTCAGTCAAATTGACCCACTCTGAACCGAGAATTTAGCGATTGAATTTTAGACCTAGCCTCGATCATCATTACTAAAGTCGGTACGATAAAAAAAAACATAGTCTAGATTATCCATTTTTTGATTTAATTATCAATGAGCTTTGAGCAGCAGATCGGATTCCAATCCAGTGGGAGGAAACCGGGTGACCCGGAGAAAACCTACGAGGTTGGACAGGCGACCCTACTCCTTGTCACGTACGACCGGTAGATCGAAATCCCGCCAGTTGTCTCAACGACAGACCGTATGATACAGCGCGCGCGTGCTACCCCCCCCCCCCCCCCAAGAGTTGATTATGGTCTTGATAAGTTAATTAATGTCTAATTGATAATTTAGATAACATTTCATGCCTAAAGAAAGACCTGCAATAGGCAGATTTAGCTCTTCCATAGTGTATGTTTAACTGTTGGAATTCGGCGAAGAGTTGGCGGGAACCGCGATGTATGGGCAAAATATTCTCCCCTAGCATTATAGACGTGACTATAGGTCATTCTTTTCCCTTCTAACTAAAACATGATTTGGTTCGATTTACATATATAATTCTTTCATTTTTCTTTTCCTCATCAACTCAACAAATAAGATGGCCCCTTCATGTAGTCAAAGACATGCGTGCAGTGCACCTGCATAGAACGTCATGCTGTGCTGCTTGGAACGTCATCGCTGACACGAACTCATATCCGTTTATCTCCAGTCTGCTGGCAATATGTTAATACCATTTCCGGTTCCAAAAACGTGAGTGTCGATGTTCTTAACCTCTGCATCAGTTCTGCATCAATTTATGTCTTGCGGGTTTTTTTGTGTTGAAAAAAGGCGAACGATTAACGAGTAACCCGGATTTGAAAAAAAAACCTGACACGATACGAACACCCCTTTACTAATTTTTTAAAAAAATATAGTAGGCCTCCTTAAATTATGGAATTCAATGTCAAATACCAGCAAACTGTTTGGTACTTGAATAGTATTTGTATTTAATACACGCCAGACTAACAAATGGTTACACAGGCGCGTGTCCAGAGATGTGTGTGTGTGTGTGTGGGGGGGGGGGGTTCAAGGGGCCCGAACCTTCCCCTGCTGGCGCAGAGAATATTTTTCCTCTCCAACAGTCATGGAAATAACGTCGATAAAACTGAAGTGCGAAATATGACAGCCGTTTTGACCTCACTCCACTGTAATCCAGTATATATATATGTATTTAAATGAGCAATATTGTCTCAAGCTTCTGATTTTATCAAATACGCGGGTACCCGCTCCGACATAACGCCAAGCTGAACGTTGTCTTTACCTTAGACCCCCCGCTGCACAAATTCCTGGTCACGCCCCTGTCATACTGATAGATCAGGGGGAACACCACACTTTGGTGATAACAGAGCTGTTAAAATATTTTCTTATAATAAGGATTAATGACAAATCTATATTTCCAGCCGGGTTTTTTTCCCTGAATGTTTATGTAATATCTCTCATATAAATCACCATATGTTAGTCTCAGTTTGTCGACGCCAGTCTCATCAACTGTCAAATATATAAGAAAATATTGTTGAGATCATTAAATATGTATTTATTAACAAACTCAGCACGTGTGTGATGTATTTATGAACACGTCATATATATTATATGCAATAAGAAAATCGTGTGAAGTGATTATTTTTGTGGAAACACTTCCCAAAATATGTTTAACATCGTGTAAGCATGACCCGTGTCTAATTTTATGTGCGATTTAATTATACACATGTACTAATTGCTTCATACATGCCATACCTCGAATGTGAATAAGGTTATGGCTCATGCATGCTAAAAAGTATGAAATGAAATTAAATGGAGTTTGAAGTCCTACTCTTCAGAACTGGCGTGGTTCTGATTCCCCGGTTGTACGTGACAGGGAGTAGGGTCGTCTGCCCAACCTCGTGGGTTTTCTCCGGTTTCCTCCCACTGCTAAAGACCCCCTCCGCGCAAGCAAATTACTGAAAAAAACATGCTATACAGGTCCTGTAGAGTGCTCTGGGGAGAAGTTTGTCGGACAGCGGCGATTCAGCTTGCTCTTCTTCGAATTATGTCAAGCTTTCTATTACGTGCACGCCAATGTGGACACGGAACTTTGGCTTTGCATCCCATTAGAACGACCTGTCTTGAACCAATGATATTGAGAAACCAGACTGGTTAATCTCGAGGAACTGTGTCGATTACTGGGTGAGATCTAACCCTGGAACTCGGTGGTTAGTGAACCAACCAACACCATACTCACCGAGCTGGGCTAATGAAGACGGACATACGCCATACAGTGTGCTATGAGGGAAATTCGGTCCGGACAGCGGCGCTACTCTTACATGTAAATCGAATTTCAACTGTCAAAGAATCTTTTACGTGCACGCCAATGTGTACGTGGCAGTACCTCCGTTTTTTGTCCCATCCCAACGACTATACGTTGTCCCTTGTCAGGTCATCCGCCTTGCACCACTGACAAGGGGAAACCACGGCGGAAAATCCCAATGAACTTTCTCGGCAAACGCATGGATCGAACACGGGACCTACAGGTTAGCGAACCAAAGTTTCGCTCAAGTGGCTCACTTGTTTGGATAAAGTCAAAACGAACTAATGTATGGAGTTCACCAGGGATCCATTTTAGGGTCTATTATGTTTACCTTTTAAGCAAATGATATAGATAAATTAACCAAGAGTTGCCAATCAGATCAGCATTGCTTGAAGGCAGATTATTGACACGATGTAGTTGATACAGACATTTCTCTCTAGCTTCTATTATTTGTGCGTATGGTTTTTGAATAATAGGGCGGATTCCAGGCTGGTCGTACGTTCAATCAACAAAATAATTGGATTATTTTGAAATTTACATGCGAACTAGAAGAACTCAGTTGACAAGTGTGTAATGTTTGGGGGTTAAAATAGTTTTTGAGACATACTCTACATCGAATTAAACGAGTGTATACGGGTGAAAACCGTTTTATTTTTTATACCATCAGAACGACTAGGCGTCACTACAAGATTCGAACCGGATACATTGTAGTCGACAGCCCATTACCCTGACCGCTCGAGTAATACCCCTCTCCACCCCCACCCCACCGCATCAGTAACGCGGAATAACCATGCTAGAAGAAGAACCACCGACGTTGAAGTGGAATAGTTAAACTATGCCAACAGTAATTGACTAATTATCAAATATTCTACAGCAGTTGGCATGTGCATACTACAAGAACTGACGGGAACATCAACTATGTTTACCTACCACAGCGCATGTGTATTACATGATCCAAGTAGTCACCATTAGTTTTTCGGAGAACGCCAGATCGGCAACGGTCCTGAACATTTTAGCACATATGACATCATATGTGGATTGTGGGTTAAGGTTAGGGTTAGGACCTGCAGATTTCGTCAAAGTCTCCAAATTTAAACTGGGCTAGCGCTAACCCTAACTCTAAGCTTGGACCAAGCCTAACCTGGCTTACCTACCCGTAACGCACAATCCAGGTATGACGTCATATGTGCAGGACCGTCTCCGATCTAGCGTTCTCCTAGTTCTGCCCTGTCGGTCAGTAGTGTAAGCTATATAGTTCTTCCGTCAGTGTAAGCTCTGTTGGTATTTCGCACCGTTGTAAAATTTCAATAATCAAAATTTGATTTTGTCAATATGCCGACTTCCGCCAAGAAGTACGGTTTGAAATATCAATAACGTTCCTGATAACTATGCGTACAAAATGTAGCGGCGTCAATTGCAGTGTGATACGTACGGATATCATCCATGAAGGACTTCAGCTTGAAATTGGGTTTAACGCCCTACCTTACTACACCAACCGGGAAAATAAACGCCATGGGTATAAAATCAAATGACATGATGGGGTTTAACATCCTACTGTCCTGCTCCGACTGGGCTAATGAAGACGGGCATACACCATGCAGTATGCTATGGGGAACTTTTACCCGGACAGCGGCGCTACGACCTACTCTTATATCGAATTTCAACTCTCCAGGGATCTTTTACGTGTACATGGGACCTCGGTTTTTCGTCCCATCCGAATGACTATACGTTGTCCCTTGCCAGACCCTCTGTCTCTTATCACTGACAAGGTGGAACCACGCCGATGAACTTTCTTGGCCTCCAGCTTAGCGAGCCCACCGATTGTCCTCCGAGCAAATAAAGACAGGCATACGTCATGCAATGTGCTATAACACGGACATTTCCCCTGACAGTGGCGTTATGAATTCCAACTGTCAATGATTCCTTGACATGCACTCCAACGAGTACAAGGAATATTGGTTATTCGTCCCATCAGAATGACAGGACAATGTTCCTTACCGACAGTACCCAGACACGTTGAGAAGAAAACAAAAATTACGCTCGAAGGACTCCAGCTTGAAGTCAGAGAATCTTATTACCACTAAGTAAACCCAAGATATTTAAAACAGCATAAATTATTTATCTTTTCATGGCTGTTTCACTTAGACCATGTAGTTATTTCTCCATATTGAATTCTTCACACTATACAGCGATACAAAGCTGAATCTAACTAGTTCTAAGAGACAAAAATTGATGGGAATTTGGTATAGTTTCAGCCAGCACCATAGTAACTGTTGACAGCTCCTAGCAACACTTTCTATAAAATAAACAAATTACGCAAGTTACACATGTATATCATAATATAAATCCGCCTTATAATCAACAAACTAGCACTAAGATTAACAGTTAAAAAAATGTTTTCTTTTCTTTAATTATATTTGTGTTTTCGCCATTTTTTCTCTGCGAGTTGATACATTTAATAAAAACGTTTTTTTTAGGTTTGTACACATGTGATAAATCTCACTAATCAGTGCCAATTTTTCTTCTTTTTTTTACTTTGATCCTTAAAATAATTATTTTGGTATTTCAATGCCGACTGCCGTGTAGGTCTGCCAAATCCTCTACACCTGCGGAGCTCTAATTATTTTGGCAGACGAATCAACGACGACATTGACACGGTCTTGTCGGGGTTAGTTATTCCCCCCCTTTCCGCATCGCCAAGTTTCCACACCGATAAATGATTTTAACATTACGGGTGTTTTTTTTAAATAGAGTGGCACCGAACTTAAATCATAAAACAGCCAAATAATGATCGGGAACACATAAAAATAGCAAGAAATCCGATCGTCGCGGTCGTTACGGATTTTTGGATAAGTCGTGAGTATCAATTTCGTGATTTGTGGCCTGTCGTTTTTTAGCAGCACTGGGTCGTGAGAATTACACAAAAACCTTGACTAAAAATATGTAGAAACCACCGATGTTATGAAAAGGGCGGCGTTGAGGATATTTCTCAAACAAAAATAAATAAACGTGTACAAGAAAATTATAGCCCTATAGTTCAAATAAAAATATTATATTTCCTACATAGTTTGTTGGGTTAATGTTTATTTAGTAACTGTACTGTATAGACATGTGTTTTCAGTACAAACTCTAGGGGGTTAAAACATGTTGTCTTTATTCTCGCTATTTTTATCTACCTTACTGTATTATTCCCGTGAAAATATAAAAAACATTTACAATGTAGGCATCTTTTAGTTGCCTTGCAAGATACACCCACATGTTGCAATAGATGGACTGAGAACAGGAAAATTAATCGGGCCCACACTCTAATTGTTCCAATGCTTCACAATAAAATATATAAAAACATTTACAATGTATGTTTTTTAAGTCGTGATATCTAAGACCCACAAACAAAAAATAACTGGAGTTTCCGTGCCCTTATAATCTCACAAATTTGAGTTCTTAAAATTAATTACTTGAATGACATATACATATAGGATTAACAATTCACAACACAAAAACAACACAAGATATATATAAATACATGTAATTACTTCTCTGTTTATATACAAAAAATTGGTATACATATGCTTGATAACGACCAGCGAAATTTTGTCGAAACGTCATGTGTATAGTGGTTGTTATGGTGTTGACTTGTGTTATATTATGTTCAATCACTAAATACCATTCAAAGATTATACTTCTCTGTTATTTAATAACACAAGTTATATATGGATATAACTATTTCTCTGTTATTTAATAACACAAGGTATATATGGATATAACTACTTTAATAACAATAGGTATATATGGATATAACTACTTCTCTGTTGCATGTTTTGCAAGTATTAATATGGTCGTTTATAATGATCACTATAAACTGTTGTTACTGTTTTAACAGTAATTAGTTTGGTGTAAGCCAATATAGGCATAAATAGGCTAACGATCCCCTTGCAGTCGAAAATAGATATACGAGTAGAATGTATTGCCGCTGCCTGGGTAAATTGTCTCTCACAGAACACAGAACAATGCCTGTCTTCAATAGCTCAGTTGGTGCAGAACAATAAACTACTAAACCACATTTCATTTCATTTCAGTTGGAGCAGAACAGCAAGACGTTAAACCTCGTTTCAATTCATTTATTTCAACACAAAACGACTTAATGTATTGGAGTGTCAGAGACCAAACTTTTCATTTTCTAGTAAACCAAATACGTTACAGCCCATCCATATCTTGATATTATCTCTATTTTAAAGATGAATGTCGGATTAGACAGTTTATTACCAGAATAAGCCAATGAAACGAGACCATTATAAAGATACGGTTCAAAGAGATCTTGACCACAAACTACTTTATTGGCGAACCCACAACCCATCTGATATGTTACTAAACCAATGATAATTATACACCCCGAGCCATACGAGATGGTGTGGTTTATTTTCTGGTCGGGTTGGAAACGGTGATCAGGTGGATTGGGCAGGAAACCAGGAGGGTTCAGAAGGAAACGCGATCAGTTTCATTGGAAAGGGGGTCAGGTAGGCTGTGTGAAAGAGTAAATGTCGGTTTGGGGTGGGGGGGGGTCGATCGTTGGGGAGATCAGACCGGTTTGGAAGGAGATCAGTTGGGTTGAGTACGAATGCAGGTTGGGTATGTGATCATACTGGTTGGGTAGGAGATCACACAAGCTGAGTAGGAGAGCACGCTGGTCGGGTACTAGATCACACTGGTTGGGTAGTAGATAAGACTGATTGGGTAGGTAGATAGGAGATCACACTGGTTGGGTAGGACATCACACAGGGTGGGAAGGAGATTACACTGGTTGGTTAGGGGATCACACTGGTTGGGCAGGAGATCACACTGGTTGTGCAGGAGATCACACTGGTTGGGTAGGAGTTAAGACTGGTTCGGTAGGTAGGAGATCACACTGGTTGAGCAGGACATCACACGGGGGTAAGGAGATAAGAATGGTTGGGTAGGAGATAAGACTGTTTGAGTAGGATATAAGACTGATTGGGAGAACAGAACGGTTGGGCAGGAGATCAGCTCCGTTGGCCAGGAATTCAAAACATTTGCGGCCCTTTATCCGAGTGGTAAAGAGAGTGGGTTTTTGACTAGAATGTTCCGTGTTTGAAAAACAGGATTTTTCAAGTCCGGTCTCACTGACATGGAAATTTGTTCTGATAGGACGAAACACTGAGATCGACCCGTGTACTCTCTGGTATGCTTGTACAAGAACCCTTGACAGTTGAAATTCGACGAAGAGTAGGCAGAAATGCTGATGTCAGCGCAAAATTCTTCATATCATCCCACATGTGAACACAGAAAAAATAATCACGTGTTAGTTTCAATAGTACCGTGGCTAAATCTATTTTTAAGGCCAACTCAATTTTCGTCAAGGACGCTGAGATGTAAAAAAGGTTAATGCAGGTGATATATGTATATAGCTACTAGATATAACTGACCACTTGTAATGTTCCCTTTAACTAGCCAATCTATGTACAGATATAACTGACCACTTGTAATCGTCCCCTTTAACTAGCCAATCTATCTATAGATATAACTGACCACTTGTAACGTACCCCTTTAAGTAGACAATCTATAATGGTATATTATATCAGTATGTATATAGGTAATAGATATAACTGACCACTCTATTAACCCACATTTTACACCAATAAACTAATCCTCTACATCAATAAACTTCTACTACACAGCATCTTAACTACATAACAGCGGTTATTTCTGGATATTTTCACATAAAAAGGGGAGGAAAGAAGGCTCTGGTATGTATTTACTGTGGACTGGCTTATATAATGGACTTATCACAATGTGGGTTTTAACTTCTAGAATATAGTTCAATAGCTTACCAAATGAAATAGATCACATAGACAGAAATGAAATGAAATGAAATGGGGTATACTGCACCGACCGATCTAATGAAGACGGACATATGCCATACAGTGTGCTATGAGGGCAATTTTGCCCGCACAGCGGCACTACGGCTTACTCTTATATCAAATTCCAACTGCCAAGGGTTCTTTTGCGTGCAAGACATACGTTGTATCTTGCCAGGCCCTCGGTGAACACAGGGATCGCACACGGGACCTCCAGATTAGCGACCTCCCAAAACCTCCCAAATAGATAGAAGGAAAACATATAGTTACTGGTCATCATTTGCATTTTGTCGGGGGTGGGGTGGGGGTCGGCGGCGACATTGGGAATATGTTCCTCCCTAGACATCTTTCTTGGTACTACGAAAGGATCCAGACCATTAATTCTCACCTTCTCGATACCCACGATTTGTATTTCCTCTATATATAGCCATTCTCTTCCTTTCCCCCTTTCGCATGTCCCTTTTTTGTGGTTTGTTGTCTGAAATCGAAGAATACGGTTTGAATTAACATTTTCTGGCGGGTTTCGGTAAATATGGCAAATATTCATAGATACAGAGGCGAAAGCGTAACAGAGCTAAGAGGTAATATGTAAGCCTACAGCGGATAGTTACATGTTTTTAGTATGCAACTTCTTCAAGTTTATGTATCTTCAAATTTTAGTGGTCAACCTCATACAAACTTTTGAGCAAAGAGATGTCCATTTATTGCTCTGTCTGTAGTGATAAACGTTCAACCCAACGAAAATATGGAGAAAATGTGGAACCGGGCACAACGAGCTTTCTACTACATATATTTATATTTAATATATACAAAACTGTTTTTGTCATAAACGTGCAGCTTCGTGATATGCCTTTTTTTTACAAGAATGTCGTTAATTATCATACTGGAATGAAGTTGGCCATACCTTTCGGTGTTAAGCCCAAAACAAGTCACTTGTGTTTCAGGTTTTGTTTTGTTTCGGGGTTTTTGTTACTAAAGTAGTAGATGCAGCAATCGGTTATAAAAATGCTGTTAATTAGTACATTACAGACCTAGCAACTTGTGCCATGTTTTTTTTGTCTGTTAAACATATTGTCTAAATTAATTCCTGATTTACCGTGACCTCTATTTGATCTCTGCCTTGGCCTGGGCTAAAGGGTGGTACAATCGCGCTCACAATAAATATGTCTTTTAAAAAGGTGCATCATAATCAGTCCAAAATCCGAAATACTCATCTCCAGAGCTATCATACGACCCGCCTTTTGGACACAGCTCACCAAATATTTCCTCTCTTTTCCTTTTTGCCACTTTTGCATGGCAATTTTTGTTGACTTTATGGTGTAGAATCGAAGAAAAGAGCTTGAAAATACATTTTCTGCCAGGTTTTACTTCTAGTTTTTGTATCTCAAGTTTTCCATGATGAACCTTATACGTGCTTTTAAGCAAGCGAATGTCACATGTTGCTCCATCCGTAGTAAAAAGCGTCCTACCCAGTGAAAAATTGGGAAACGGCTTGAGCCGGTCTAAGGGACGAGAATTAACATTAAAATCAATGCGAAAATCATTAGTGATCTGTGGCCTTTTGATTAAACCATCTCGGTTGGGACATCATTGCCTATTGTTTTTGTATCAAAGTTAAGTAGCGACCGACTGGAAAGACAACGAAATGAAATGAAATGGGGTTGAACGTCCTATTGTTCTGCTCCGAACTGGGCTAATGAAGACGGACATACGCCATACCAGATAGCAGCACTACGGCCTACTCTTATATCGAATTCCAACTGTCAGAGTATCTTTTACGTGCACGCCATTGCGTACACGGGGCCTCGAGTTTTCGTCCCATCCGAACTACTAGACAACTGTCTTTGCCAGGCCCTCCGTCCTGCATCACTGACAAGGGGGGACCACGCCGGAAAGTCTGGATGAACTTTCTCGGCCAATGCAGGGATCGAACACCCGACATCCAGGCTAGTGAGCCGGCGTCTTAACCATTTAGCCACCATGACCCCCCCCCCCCCGGAATCAAGGTAACTTAACCCCATTTATATTCGAAGCATCTGTCAAAAATGTCATTGGTAATTGCAGAACATAGTTTTTTTTCTTTTTTGTTTCCGATGAATCGAGGAACGTTGGTTTCTGGACTCGTATTCTTCAATGTTTAGCCCCTAGATTATGATTATTTGATAATTTGGTGTGTATGTGTAATGTCTGTGTAGACTACATTACGTGCGATATTTCGCGTTTTGGTTCCAACAAAACGCATTTATATTTGGGTCAGCCGTGTTCAACGTTCGTCGAAAATCAACTCTGGTCGGCTACTTTGTCGTAACGTTGTGGCCTTCGCTGATATGTTTATCTTTGACCGACTTCAAATTAATTTTGATGTAGTTATATTCATGTGTGTAGAATAATACTAAGTTCTGGCCACTTGTGTTGGGTTGAGGGGCCCCACATGCTCAAGGCCCCAGGGCCCCCAAAATGGTTAATCCAGCGCTGCCTACAAAGTTCGCCGCCCACTCTTTTGTAAATTTTTGTATTTTCATTTTGTCTAATAATACAGTTCTGGCCACTTGTGTTAGGTTGAGGAGCCCCAATACCCAAGGCCCCAGGGCCCCCACAATGGTTAATCCGGCGCTGCCTACAAACTTCGCCCCCACTCCTTTGTAAATCTTTTGTATTTTCATTTTGTCTAATAATAATACAGTTCTGGCCACTTGTCTTAGGTTGAGGGGCCCTGTATGCTCAAGGTCCCAGGGCCCCCACAATGATTAATCCGGCGCTGCCTACAAAGTTCACCCCTCCTCCCCACCTCCACTCCTTTGTTTTGTTTTTTTTTTCATTTTCTTTTTGTCTAAAAATACAGAGTAAAAATCATTAACCCCAAATAAAATCAGAAGACTTGTTTCACAAACAAACTAAAATATATTAACCTTAGCTATATTTTCGTTTTAAGAAAAAAAAGCTAGCATATAGAATTAAAACTCGATAAATAATAAATACTTCTAAAAGCTTGTAATACAATAACACGACGAACGTCTAAATATAATTACAGATTCTATATTCAATTATTGGCAGACGACCGGGTGATACAATCTTTCATACCGCAACGTTTTTTTCCGAAACGAAAACAGTCGTTGTAAAGTAACATTTGTAGGTGTTGAGAATAACGACGCTGATTAGATTGCGGTGGGGAATATCCAAGTTACCGTTATATAATTATTTACCTAAATATACCATTTAATGGTTTAGATACTTAGTGCTTTATGACTTTTTAAATACCCGTTTAGCCTTTAAGTGTTTTCAAATCTACACTTGAAAATTTTCTCAGTTAAGATCAAAATGTATTTACCCATTATTGGACAATTTCCAATTATAGGTTAGTAATTATCTTTTTAAAAAAACAACCCGCGATTATCAGAATTTCCCCAAATATCAGAATTGAAATGGGGTTTAACGCCCTCCTTTTAAAAACGTGCGATTAAAATATTTGCTTCTCTTTCCTCACAATGTAAAATCAGAAATGAAATACATTGGCGTTTAATGTGGTGTTAAGGGACAATGTATAGTCGTTAGGATGGGACGAAAACCGAAGTTCCGTGTACACGTTGGCATGTAAAACAATCCTTGACAGTTGGAACTCGAAAAAAAGGAACAAAAAAGCTCACACTATATTTGAACTAAGGTTGAGGTCAAACTAACAGGCCAGAATGGTTGTCGATACATCAAAATTTTTTGTAAACATCAATTAAAACTTGTTAAACCGTGTTAAAGATTGTTTAATATAAAGATCGGAAGAATTATATAAACACCGTTTGATCCTGCATGATTTTATTCGTGGTTTTTAGAAATTGATAGCCACAAGGCGTGTATCTGGTTCAACTGTTACAACTCTTAATATCCGTTCCTCATTAATTTGTTTGCCCATTGTCCGCCATCTTGTATCCCAGAATTCTTTGAAGTTGAGAAGTATTTCTCGTTATAACAGATTAACACTTTATGTGTTTGCCAGTGATTGGAACTTATTTAAGTTAAACATACGCCAAAACAAACGATGTTCTGGGAATCTGGGATAACGAACACATTTTTTTTTAACCTCGGGCGTTATTTTCTAGAATTGTATAGAAAGGTTCTGCGCGCCATTTGCATTTTTCTAAAATATAAAAATTTTTCACGGCTTACTAACCGCTAAAATTTACGTAGATTGATTATTTAATATCAAAATATTAAAATCAAAATATCATTGGAAGATAATTACCCGGCTTCAGGATCCGGAGAAGGGGGTGGGGGTGACCTGGGCTGGAAATTTGTTGAAAGATACTTGTTCTCTAGCGTCATTTTGGCGTATTTCTGGGGTAACTTGAGGTTTTTTTGCTAAAACACATTGGTCGGAAAATGATCCTCAATTGACAAAAATATCGTAAAATATCGAGATTTTTAGCGCCTAACGAAACGTAGCCACGGTGTCGAAGTGGGTAAGAGGCTGGCTCGCTAGCCTGGAGGTCGCGTGTTCGACCCCTGCATTGGCCCTGAAAGTTCGAGATTTTCCGGCGTGGTTTCCCCTTGTCATTGGTGCAGAATGCAGGGCCTGACAATGACAGCTGTCTAGTCGTTCGGGTGATATACGAAAAACCCGAGGGCCCGTGTATACATTGACATGCACGTAATAGATCCCTTGGCAGTTGGAATTCGATATAAGAGTAGGCCATAGTGTCGCTGCTCGGGCAAAATTTTCCTCATGATTATGCCCGTGAAAGCGCCCCCCCCCCATCGAGGACTCGCTCCTCCCAGGACCCGGGAGTGGGGGCTCAGTCCGGGCAAACTTAACCTCATAGAACACTGTATGGCATATCTCCGTCTTCATTTGCCCAGACGGAGCTGACAGTAGGACGTCAAACCCCCATTTCCTTTCAATTCATTTCCTTTGCTCACATTCAGAGGCGTAGCCGTGACATATATATTGGGGGGGTCCGCAACCCTAACCCCTAACCCATTTTTTAAAACCCCTAAAAAATATAAACAAACACCATGTGGCCATGCTTTCTACCAAGACACCGCGTGCAAAAGCATTATGGTTACGTTGCTGGCTGACCGGGCGATAAATATTTGGTTTAGGCGGTTATGTTTTTGGTTACCTACATGCGATTCACTCTGATAAGTGGCAGAAAAAAATTAACAAAATATTACTGACAGGCAAACTACACACAATTTTACGGAACACAGGTACTTTTCACTTCACATATGTTTCCAGGATGATTATCTCTGTGTTTTATTTTAGCAGTATAAACCATATTGGGATATGTACAGGTTTTATACAGATAGAATCTTAACTAATCCTAATATATGTTGTAAATAAATAGGAGTTTCGGCCTACTATGTAATTTTTTTGGGGGGGTCCAAGTATATTCAGACCCCTCTCTCCCGAAAAACAATTGGGGGGTCGGACCCCCCCCCCCCCCGGACCCCCCCATGTGTGACGCCCATGCTTACATTAATTTCAATCCAGTTGTATTATAAAATGTTTTACATGTTCTATATGGAGCCCGTTTTCATTATCCCAGTCGGAACAGAACAGTAGGACGTTAAACCGCATTTCATTTCATTACATATTCTATATGGAGCCACGACCGGGTCATCATCGTACATCCAGATACCAACAAATGATGATGTAAACGATGTTACTTTAACCATAAATGTAATAGCATGCACCCAATTCACCTACCTGTAATCTAACTGACTAACTCTAAACTCAACAGCTGGAAAAATCAATTAATAATAATGACATACACAGGTAACAATTCTATGGAGTATAATTACTCTTTATTACTGGGTGACGTTTCTGCTAGACTGATCTAGTCTTTATCATCATGCCCCCTGGGTATCCATTTCAGGGGGAGGGGGGGGGGTCCAATCATAGACTGAAATCAAAATTAAGCTTTCTGAAATTGAAAATTGCCACTGTTAACTTGTACGAGCTCCGTTACTAACTTTAAATAAAATGTTTATTTGATGTTTCTTACGTAAAACTACCGGATAACCCAGCGCTGCACTATGTACTATTACTCCGAAACCGGAAGCGGTAGGTCAGCGCCATCAGGCCTATATTACTTCCCGGTCCGAGCTACCCCTATACACCAAATTTCTGCCTCGCGACAGCCCTAGTGTAGCCGCCAACCCTGACCAGATAGACAGACAGACAAACAACCGACAATCGCAAATATTAATATAGACGTATTTCTTAGGGGAATACAGTCATCCCATTGGCACCAAACCTGTGCACGCCACAGTCATATATCTAGGTCTTAGATTATTGTCAGAAGCGGATCCAGATGGGGACCACCCCACCCCTAAATGACAGTATAAAAATGTACCTATTATTCTGTGACAAGGTGTAAATTTGAGCTTTTTATTGATCGGGGTGATGTAGCTGATAAACACAATAATGTTATTATTCAGGTCCAGTTATATGCCAGAAATCCCCACAGACACTCGTTTTCTAAATTTTTCCGGAGGACCCCCGGTCCCCTTTAACAAAATATCCTGCTCCCGCCAGTCACTATTGTATTCATTAAAGGTTTAATTTATCGGAGTGTATTAAAATACTATGTTAGATTACGTTACTCAACGTGAATGTGCAGATTATTGATATTTTAGTATTCAATTCTAAAATTGCTCAATTATTAATGAAGAGTTTCTCACCTCGGATGTCAGGGAAAAAAACAGGTGAATGTAAAAATGTTTTGTTGTAATCGATACTATTAATTAAAAAGTCAGGAGTGAATAAAAACGCGAGGTGGTGATTCATACCTTTAAAGTTATTTCATCCTTAACCGGTTAACACTTGTCAACCATTCAAGGGTGATTTGGTTTCACTAAGGTAACAAATAAAGTGAGGGAGCGGGGTGTGGGCGAAAGGGGTGGAGGGGTTTTGGCCCCTAGGACTGGCGAGAATATTTTTTTTTTTTTTAAACTGACTGTAAATGGTTTCCAGAGTATATCCTAATGTTTCTAGCTTATAATGTACACATTTCGTGTGTGACAATCTTATTAATCAAAAACGACGTAAACTCAAGACTAATATAGTCCCCCAAACTTAACAAAAACGGCCTCTAAACTTCTGTAGGGCCTCCCTAGCCTACCATGAACACGTGCTCATTCTCAGTCCCTCCCTGGACGAGTGGGAGAGAGATAATATGAGGAATCCGACTAAAACCCAGATCCTATTTCGTTTCGTTTTTTATAGTTCAAAAATTTCGTTTTAATTCTTATGTAGTGGAGGCCATCGAAAGTCTAAAAAAAAACGAAACGAAATATAGATTTGTATTTTAATCAGCTTGGAGATAAGGGATAAATGGAGGTTAATCTCCTACTTTCTCCACCAACGGGGCCGATGAAGGAAGACGGGCATGCGCCATGCCGGGATTTAGATGAAGAGGGATCCTAGGGTATTACACTCATGATGCTCCTTCCAATCTCCTACCCTGACAACCAAAAACAGATGAAGGTGCATTTAAAACACAATTGAGCAAAGCCGGGAATGGTGAGGAAATTTTAAGATTACAGTGTAAGAAAGGATTATGATAATGTCAAAAATAATATATACACCTTGGTAAAACCGGCACGGGTTGGGGTGGGCTTGTGTGGGGCTTATAATTAAACTTGCCTAACTATCCTAACTAAGAAAACGGCATGACTGACAATGTATACAATTACTACGACGACGTGTTGACTGACACAGTTCATTAAAGTTTAATCTTCAATCGGTTTGTTATCAAACTACGTTTCACTCTGGAATCTCCTAATAATTCCACTGTCAGCATGCAGGATGAGTTACGGGTCAGATGACGTAACACTGTCTGCTTCACACACACCTTGTTAATTAAGCTTTAGGTCAAGTTCTGGTCGAGCTAAGGAATCTGAGAGAGAGAGAGAGAGAGAGAGAGAGACGGAGATAAGGGGGGGGGGCTATTTTAAAGAAACAAATTCAAACCCTATTCGGTTTTTTAATAGACAATCAATTGATATATATTTACTTCTTACTATATTGTATGTAAATTGTTTCAATAACACTTAGTAATAGTTAGAGAGAGAGAGAGAGAGAGGGGGGGCGGGGGGATTTAACGTCCACTCGACACAAACTGGGCCATTTCGGGACTAACATATGGTTCAATTTTATTTTAATAATTCGCTTGCGCGTAGGGGTCTTTAGCAGTGGGAGGAAACCGGAGCACCCGAAGAGAAACCACGAAGCTGGACAGACGACCCTACTCCTTGTCACATAAAACTGGGGAATCGAAACCACGCCACTTGACTCACTGACAGACCTTATGACGCAACGCGCATAGGTGACCTAATGGATTTCAATATAATGAACTACCCGGTGTACACTTGAAACAAGGTTATACGCTGGCACTCTGAAGGACAAAATTAATTTCAGTGGGTTCACAAGATACTAGTCATTCTGCACACAGACAACTATCTACTTCGAGAATAGATCTCTGCCCTAAATGACCGCCATATCCAAAACTTAGTATACATGTACTTGTAATGTAGTTCTACTCCGTTTATATCTGCCATACACACAAATACTAAACAAACCATTTCAATGATATTAAATTGAAGCGGAATATATATTTCTCAAAATTATCCAAGTATACTTAAACATACATTATGCAAGAGCTAAATCTGTCTATTGCAGGTCTTTCTTTACGCCTGAAATGTTTTCTAAATTATTAATTAGACATTAATTAACTGATCCAGGCCATATCAACTTTCGCTGGCATCGGATTTCTTCAATATTAAATAGATAAGAACGGTTCAGCCATATTTTGATTTAATTTAAAAATGGAGGAGCGAGACTTAGCTTCGAACAACCAGAACGGTGGCTGAAATTATTGCCCACGTCTTATCAAACCTTCAAAGGCAACATCTTCGCTCGCAATAGAGTAATTTGAATGAAATTTTCAAATTATTCATTTTACATTATCTATTTTCGAACTATTATAACAAGAATGACTAGCTCTTATCTTACATACTGTTTCTTTAAAGTTTTCGACTAAAATCGTTGATTTAGGAATCAAAATGTCGGTTGACTAGCTTAGTGTCTGTTCTCAAGCGGAGCTAATTGTAGATAGACAGTGTAAGTTTAGTATGGATACCAGCGGGCCCTGAGCCTTTTGCTGAAATGAAATGAAATAGGGTTTAATGTCCTACTGTTCTGCTCCGAGTGGACTAATGAAGCCGGAATGTCTCTAACACTGGTTAAACCCAAACAAATGTTATCAGTGGTAGACTGTATTTGAAATATTAAGACAAAATATGGACGGTGATCGTGATGATATATGGACGGTGATCGTGATGATCGTGATCCAATACATGAAAACAGATTGTTTAAACTGATTAAACCCAATGTCTATCCTTTGATATAAATGTTATCATGTATGAATTGTATTTTATATATTAAGACAAAATATGGACGATGATCGTGATGATCGTGATCTAATACATGAAAATTGATTGTTTTATTTTTTTCTCCCAGTGCCTGACAAAGACATATCGCCAGATTAATCAAACCCCTCTATCCGCCATTACTAATTCCACCTGAGAAAATCCGCCGTTTGATTCCATCTATCGTAAATTGCAGACGTCAGATTAATGTCATTATTCAAGACATGACAACGAAATGCAAACATTTACCTGCCAAGACTCCAATAACCTTTTTAGTTTCTGTAAAATTTGATTGATTACGCCTTTGTCTGACGTCTGTTATTGCGATTTGTCTATAAAGTAGTGCGCTACGCGGCATATTTCATGATATTAACACACAGGGGTTGCTAAGGTGGATGAATATTCATCAATCTTCAAGGCTGTGTTTTGTCTGTCATGTCAAGAAATCATACAACTTCGTCTCCCAATCTTTTGCTATTTGACAGTTTTTGTCATTTATTTGTAAACTCGACCGGAATGATGCGAGTCGCAATTAAAAACCAGTTCTTCATTATGCCATTTTATAAAAGCGATGAAACATCCGGGACTCGCCGCGCGTGCTTTCACCTGTACGGCAGATGTGGTTTAGTGCAGCGTGCATGGCTCGCGCGCACGTTAATGTCTATAATTCCCGTATAGATGAAACCTGGTGAAACGAACTTAAGCGTGAGTTATGAGAGTAGTGTAACGTTTAAAGCGATGAAAGACAAATCATATTTAGTTTTCGCCTAGTTGCGCGATGATAGCTGACCGTAATTAGGGTATCGAACCACTGATGAATTAGAAAAGAAAAGATTCCGCCTGGACTGCTATCAAATGCGGAAATTTTGAAACTTTAGAGATTATTCTGCCCCGAGAACTAATAATCCCCAACCATGAAATCAACGGAACCGTAAATAACATATTTTAATATTGGCATTCATGATTTTAAATTTTTACGTTGAATCTGGTCAAACATTGTGAGAGCCTCCATAATATCGATGCCTTTCAAATAAAAGAGAGTGATTGATGATGATTAGCCAGCGTGATGTCCCCTTGTCGGTGATGCGGGACGGAGATCCTGTCAAATACAGCGTCTAGTCGTTCCGATAGGACGAACACACAAGTCCCGTATACACCTTAGCGTGCACGTAGAAGAACCGCTTGTGTTGGAATTGGATGAATGCAGAGGGTGGGGGATGCCAAGCAACATCGTCTAGTCTCTCGGATGGGACGACATTCCTGGGTCCCGTGCACACGATAACGTGGAACAAAAAAAACCTTGAAATTAGAATTCGATGAAGAGTAGACGTGACCCGGTTAGTTCAAAAATGTGGAACTTTAAACCTCATTTCCTGGAAATATTTTGCTCTGACCGTGGCACCATATCCGTCACAGAAGATCTTTAACGTGCGACCAATGATATACAAGAGACCTGGTCCCAAGATCGCAAAACATTCTCATACTTAAGTTAAGAACTTAGTCACCTTTCAATCACTGATTATGAAAAAGATATCTTTGATCCAGAAACACAAAACTTTGCACATAGTTTCTTATTGGTGTATTTGATACATTAAAACAACACAAGTTTAAAAAGGGGTATAGATTAGTTAAAATAAGGCGAACAATTCTGGGTAAATTCTAAACTTAAGTCGGAGAATGCTTTGTGAACGCGGTCATTCGGTTACTGTTCCATTCGAACGGCTAGAGGCATCTAATTGCTAGCCCCCCCCCCTCCCCGCCTCGTTCTCGGTCTACGACGGGATTCGAACCCGAGTGGAATATAAGAAGTTGTATACGAAAGGAAAGGGATGATATCATTCTTAATAGGAAGCGAGGCGTGTAAAGACATGTCGAGGGTTATCTGAAATAACGGCAGTTCTTATAGAAAGTAACAAAATAAAAGTAGAGATATGTCAGAGATAGGACGAGGATTTCTTGTTGATGTTAGACATTAAACTAGTAAAAACTTGAGATAGTACAACCTCATATATATTATCATCTCCAGAATCAGTCTCACTTTTATATCATTCAAACTTGTAGAGTTTTACCTTATGGTGGTGTTCTGGCCTCTCTCTCTCTCTCTCGCTCAACCTCTGCCATGGAGGATAATCTGGAACATCTAATTTACTCCAGGACTAAGACGAATTAACTCCTTACAACGAGTACACGTACCACACGAGTAAGTCACACTTATACATTTTATGTATTATGTATGTAATAAAAGTGTGTTTTGATGACTAGAAATATATACACGAGTAACCTACATTTGTACATTTTAGTATTCTATGTATTAATATGTATGAATTAAAAGTATGTTTCGACGACAAGAAGTGCATGTAATACACGAGTAACTCACATTTGTATATTTTAGCATTTTATGTATTATGTATGTAATAAAAGTATGTTTTGACGAAACGAAGTACATTTAATACACGAGTATCTCACACTTGTAAATTATATGTATTATGTATGTGATAAGGGTATGTTATGGCGACCAGAAGTACATGTAATACACGGGTAACCCACACTTGTACTACACGGGTAACTCACACTTGTATATCGGCTATAGGAAAGGTAAACAATGTCAGTCAGCGTGAAATTGACTTCAGGTCACGTTAGTATAAAGTTCACTAATTATCAACAAAATCTCTTTTTTTCTACCTCAAACAGATGTAAATTAAAAAGTCAAGGTGTAAAATAAATTATTTTTTTCACATTTTTCATTTATGCGTTTCCTCGAATTTTCCTCGGTCGTCGTCTGCTTAACTTCATATAATTTAAAGAGTCAGAATGAAGGGTTTTTTTTATAATAATCTCAACCATTAAAACACAAAAATTAATGGTTATAATTAGACGCCATTTTATTCTGTGTTCGTAAAGGAGGTTGGGTGGTCAAATGTCGTGGTTTCGATTCACCACTTGTACGTGACATGGAGTGGGGTCGGAGTAGGGTCGCCTGTCCAGCCTCGTAGGCTTTCTCAGAGTCGTCAGGTTTCCCCCCACAGATAAATAAAATTGAACCATAAAATTGAAATGACCTCTCTCTCTGTCGGAGTCACAAGGTTTCGGGAAAGCATATACTTTGGAATGTATATAGTCGTGGAATATTGAATAGTGAAAGGGTTCGTCCTCTCATGACCCAAATTATTCCCACATATTTCTTTTAAAAAATCCATTAAAAACTATAGTCTCTATCGCGTTCACAGGGTTTTCAGAAAAGGGGGCATAACTCTGGAACGGAAATTCGTGACTTGTCCTCTATGAATACAATGCTTCACAGTTCACACCCAGTTAAAAACTGTAGCCTATATCGCGTTCACAACCCAATGGTTGACGGACGGACGGAATGAGGACATCGACATAATACGCCTACACCTGTGGCCGTATAGAATAAAGAACCATCTGTCCTGCGTCTTTTACCACAGACAAGAAGAAATCGCGCCCGAAAATCCCGAGGAACATTTGCGGCTAACACCGGTATGGATTTTAGGACCACCATGTTTCTGAGTCAGCGCCTTACCTACACGGAGCCACCGTGACTCGAGCATTCTAAATAAAACATTATGATAGTTCTATATTTCGCTTGCAGCTTTTTATGATTCAACTTTGTTATTTTCCTATTTCTAGGAGACCCTCTACCCTAGTACGTTCTCTGTGGATACACGTGCGACACCCCGTGTCGTTTTCAGTGCCACAGCGTTCACCACGTTCACCGCGAAACAGATAATCGTCTATTTCCAGCAGGCTACACTGCCAGGTTATCGGCCAACCTTACTTCTGAAATATACGCCCATATTATGGCATTTTTGATGCAGGACGAATTGAGACGAAAACCCGAAGTACCGTGTAAAAATTAGCGTGCACGGAAAAGAATCCCGCTGTCCGAGCAAAATTTCACTTGTTGCCCACTGTGTGGCGTATGTCCGTCTTTATCAGTCCAGTCGGTGCAGAACAGTAGGACGTTAAACCTGATTGCAGTTCATTTACGATCCCCAGATTCAATTCGAAACAATTAAAGTCGCTGCGATCGTCATTTGCATTTGTCGAACAGTATAATATAATCTACTCGCGTTTGGGTTATTTTACAATTTAAATAAAGAAAAAAATCAAAATAGCAACGACATAATCTGAATAATCAGTCCTAGCAAAATTTCCCTGGCAGCACTGTATGGCGTGTATTAGCCTAGTCGGACCAGAATAGTTGGACGTTAACCCCCATTTCGTTAGAGATTCAGCTTTGACAATATTGTAGTTCACGAGGGATAACAATACTCAATTGACGATTAGAGACTGTAAATGGCAATGACGTTAATGGCAACTGAATGTGGAATCTGAGCCATCTGGCATTTCATTCATCTCTGGGGACCGAATCCCCGTTTTCAGACAAAAATATTTCATCAGAAGAGCAGCGAGTAACCCCGCCACTTCTACTCCCAAAAGAATTATAATGTGTTGGTATTGTATATCAAGAGCAATAACCCCACCATTAATTGATGCATTAATTCGGGTATTTTCTCTTCTCGTGGGTTTTCTCCGGGTCCTCCGGTTTCCTCCCACTGCTAAAGACCACTACGCGCAAACGAATTATTGAAATGAAATTAAACCATATATTAGTCCCGAAATGACCTAGTCAGTGTCGAGTGTACGTTAAACTCCATTTCTCTCTCTCTCTCTCTCTCTCTCTCTCTCTCTCTCTCCCTTCCAGACTAGTCAAATTATTTGTTTTATAATACTCTAGGTATATCTGTACCGTTGTTGGTTGTTCTTAACATTCTTTAGAGCATGTGAGGTAGGGTATACACACGACCACGTTCTTGTGTCAAGTCCGGAAAACCTAATATAAATTTTATCTGAATTCAATATGTTTAGATCACGATTCCCAGGTTATATTTCACTCGGTCTACCGAGTGCAATGAGGGTTCTATTTCATGATATGGTGACACAGCCTTTGATGTGTATTAATGGAATATAGGCGGGGTTATTTCCTGGCCTTAGGCTAAATATGATGATATATAATTATAAACATTGGCATACCAGCTAAATATATTCCAGGTAGTATTACATGTTTCACAAATTGAAATGAAATAGGGTTTAACGTCCTACCTTTTTGTGAAATGAAATGGTGTTTAACGCCCCACTGTGCTGCTCTGACTGGGCATACAGTGTGCATTGAGAATGTCTGGACAGCGGCGCAACGGCCTACGCATACATCGAATTCCAAATGCAAAGGGATTTTTTTTACGTGCGCGCCAAAGTGAACACAGTACCTCGTTTTTCGTCCTACCCGAACGACTATACGTCGTTTCTTGCCAGGCCCTCCGTCCTGCATCAAAAGTGCGATAATATGGGCGATGTATTTCTGAAGTCTGACTGGCCGATAACCTGACAGCATGAAACGTTCCATTCCGAACGACTATACGTTTTCTCTTGCCAGCACCTACGTCCTGCACCACTGACAAAAGGGAACCCACGCTGGAAAATCCCGATGAACTTTCTTGGGATCAAATATAGAGCCTCCAGGTTAGCGAGCCAATATCCTACTCACTGGGCCACCGCGGCTCCGTTTTACCCCTTTGAACCAACCTGGATAATGAAGATGGGCGTACGCAATACAATGCGCCCTTGTGTGAGACCTTAGTTTTTCGTCCCATTTGAAGGAATAGCATATACCTATAGAAAATAGCGTCATGTTACACATCTACGTGTGTTCCTCAAATGCGAAGTGGTATCAGGCTATCAATAATTAGTGCTTCGTCTCTACCTATTTCTAAAGGGATGGATGGTTTGGACTTGGAATACAGAAAATACTGGATAGAAGGTAAGGCATTAAAGTAGTGGCAACCTGGCAACCTTTGTTTTAGAAGTGGTAACAACAGTATTTTATAAATTGTTTCTACAAACGTTAGAACGGTGACAATTGTTTGTAGCCAAGGCGATAAAAAAAGGAGTGAGTGAGCTTACATTTTTTGCCTGGCAACCTATGTTTTAGAATTGGCAACAAATTATTGTGCTAAATAAACACATTATTTGTTGTGAATTGATCATCTGTTACTGCACGTGATTGAATTACTGACCTGCGCCAGGAATCTAAAGCATCGAGATTTGAGCATTCTCGGCTTCTGTTAGTCTACGAAGAAAGCCAAGGAAACGATTCTGTTATTGGCAAGATTAAGACGAACCCAATTTAATTTTTAGTTCTCATGGTTATTGATAGAAATGATTCCACTACTGATGTCTTCCGTCTTGTTCCAGCCACAGTAGGGGATCGCTCTAAGGATTTTCTTTGAGCAAGTTTTGTCATCCTAGGACTGGCCTTTACCTCCCTTAATTTCAAATTAAACTAACCCCAAAACTGTAATGAATAGCTTGACATAAAATAAACCAATTTACATTGAAATTGCCGCCGAATCAGAATTAGAACACACACGTAATTTCACATCACCTAAAAAATATACAAAAACTGTTCGGTAAGATATGATTAAGATTTGAGTGCTCCACTCTTCACTATACATGTATTATTATTAGTTATTTCCATGCAAACTGCGATGATATGTGTTGAATTCTTTGCTATTTTTACTTGCGCAAAGGCTCGTAATATGTATCAATTGTAGCCGTGTATAAGACATTTGTCACCGCTACAAATATTGAAACTAGGGTTGATCAATAAATAACACACCCAATTCGTGTATGCAATGATTTTTTTAAATTTCAAAACATAAATATGTGAAACCAAAAGCTTTATAGAAGAGCAACTAAGTACTCTTTGTTTTTATTTTTTTTTCCAGAAGAAATTGGAGGTCAAATGTTTCATAAGTCTTCCCGAAAAACAGATAATGAAATTGTTGTGGCCTAACCTGTTTTTTTTGTTGTTAATTGTTTTATAAAAACAGTTGGAGTTAATAATTACAACATTACAACCACGTGGTGGGTTATTTAAACAACATGTTGGGTGTCCTACAGCTTTACATGTCTTGTATTGGGAGTTTAGTTTCTTCTTCCAGGCGGTGGCTCAGTAGGACGTTGACTTGCTAACCTGGAGGTCCCGTGTTCGATCCCGGTGTTGGCCGAGAAAGTTCATCGGTATTTTCCGGCGCGATTCCCCCTTGACAGTGGTGTAGGGCGGAAGGTCTGGTAAGGGTCAAAGTAAAGTCGTTAGAATGGGACGAAAAACCGAGGAACTTTCTCGGCCAACAATTGAATCGGACCTTCTCGTTGATG